GTTAAAATTGATGTCTATTGTCTATAATATGGTCATTATTTAAAGGAAATATGATAGACCAAAAAAATTTACAAATCTGTGTACGAAAAAAACATGGCGAAAACTGTTACAGTAATAGAATTTCAATAAATGGATTGTAATGTATATCAGACACTTTTTGACATTTATTTATAGCTATGAAAGTGTTACAAGCCATAGCCATAGCAACCAATTATTTTAAATACGACTAAGATCAGAAATATTGTTTTTTACTATTTTAACTAAAGGAGTTCAAATGAAAACATTATTTTTTACTACGAATTGTGAGACTTTCTCAATCTTTGCACAACATAATGAAGTATATATATTTATTTACCAATTTATAATTTAATTTTCAATGATTTAATTTTCAATAATATTTATAAAACTCTAATTGGTATTTTTTAATGAGAAATATATTAAATGCTTATTTATGTTATATATTTAAATTGAAGAGAATACATATTTAACAGTTTATTATGATGGCAACAACTTTTCGGCCCTTATATTATACATAGCATCATAAAACAAAAAAGTTTACTGGGATCAATAATGACCGGCTGACTATAGCCTGTCGCTAATGCTTGGCACCTCCTGAGGTATATGAGCGATAAGAAAGGGGAAAGACAAATTTTAACCTATCGGCTTTCGTCGAAAAACATAAAAATAACATAATTAAATTTTCATACATAATGATTTCTATCATACTTACACTATAAAAAAACCTGCGATGGTTTCAGCAGAATGAAAACTAGGCAAACATGTTATAATATTAAGAGTTTTGAGCTGAAGACATATCATTCTTTGCATTCCATTATATTGTTTGTTTTTGAAGTCCATTCAGCTTTATACTAGTATATCATTTATGTAAATCACTAATTGGACAACTAAATTACAGTAGAAAAAAGACGTTTTGGCAATTTACACCACAACACGATTAAAATGTGACAACCACGTAAAAACCAATACATGATTTTGATGATGATGTGGTAAATAACGAAATAATAAAATGGAAATTATTATTATTTATTACAAAATCGGAAGAGGATACAAAGTTGGGACACATTTTCAGTAATGAAAAATATTTGGATTAATTTTTGGTATATATTTGTAGTGAAAGTATAAAATAATTTTTTTTTGCTTTCAAATTTGTACATATTTTTGTTCAGTCCAACATATTTTACATCAATTTACCATGAAATTTTTTAGAAAGCTTCTAACATTACCTGCAAATTGCCAGTAGCTTGACTTCACCGATATGTCAGTTGCATCCTTCAACATCCCTCAGCTCTCATATTGCAAGAGATAACTAATAAATATTTACCTGATGATTTAGGGTTGAGCTACTTTGACCAATATAAGATAATCAGTAAGTCTAACTTTTAAATCTCTACCTTAATCAAATATTTCTTTTTCATAAAAATTCTGTAAGAATAGACGTAAGGTTCTATTAGAATCTGTTTAAATAATCTTTTAATCAACTATTTGATCTCTTCCGACCAACCCATTTCTTTCCTCGTTTCATACTCATTTTAAATTATTCTAGAATAAAATACTAAAACTTTAGTTCTTAAATTCCTTTAAAGATACGTATTTCCCTGGATTCACTCCATTAGGACTTTAAAATTTACTTATTTTTAATTTCAACTTATGTAATAGAATGAAAAATATTGAGGATTTGTGAAAAAAAGAATAAAAAAATATTTTTTTCAATAACATGGCTGCATGTCGATAAAAAAAATACGTTTACTAGACGCTTAAAGAATATTTCTATGTATAAAGTAAGAACGTTAGTTTCTCTATGTACACAGAACATACTACTTCTTAATTCCATATATCTTCTTTATGTGAGAATTTTTTAGGTATAACCTTTTATTTATTTAAATATAATATATTTTAAATGAAAAATGAAAACGCACGAGTATATCATTATTGACAATGGACATAATGCATAAAACAGATATTTTATATGAATACTGAGGGCAAAACTAAATCTTCTAAGGAATCTTATAATAAAAAAAAGAGATATTTTTCGGAATTGTGTCTCAACAATGGTTATTATTATACTATAATATAATTTAAAAAACATATTTTGAAACTGAAAAAACATATAAAACTCTTTTATTTATTTATTTAAAAAAATCCATGCTTATAAAATCGATGATTATACCCTTAAACGATTTGTAAAAGATATTTATATTGATTAATTGTTGACTTGTAAACAAATTTGAAAATATTTTAACCTCAACAGACAAAATCAAGTAAAACGAGCCTTGATACGATAGTGAATTTGTTGAAAATCTGATTAAAATAAACGTCTTTACTCTCTCAAATTAAATATATTTAATTTTGAAAATGAGGGACAAAAAACTTTATGAAACTGCGGATCTAGTTTAGGGTTCGGCGAGAAATAATTTTTACAATTTAATGATATTCGAGTGAAAGATATTTAATATGAATATTAGAAAATCATTTTTTTTTGTATTTACTTTTTTACAAAGATTTATTGAACTATTTCTATTTTCTGATGTATTTGTACTTGATCTCTTCCTGAAAATGGCACATCTAACAATAAAAGAATAGTTTTAGTTGCAATTAATGTTCTTTTATAAATTATGCAAAAATTTTAAAAATACCAATACGCTATTAAAATCGATGGAAGCTATAAATTCGATTACAGTCACGTTATCTTTACCAGTTGTCTTTTAACCGTATTTAAAATTTATTGAATAAAAAAGAATCATAATCAACATTTTAATTTACTTGTATTGTGTTTGCTTAGGAATAATATAGAAATACATGCAAAATATACATTCAGAACTTTGAGAGGCAGATATGTATGTTACAACTATTTCGAAATAGCATCATCTGAAGTAGTATGGTCTATAAAATTGTGCTGCGGTATAGACCCTTATTTTTTCTTCTTCTCAGTCGGTGTCACTCTTGACAGAGTGGTCGTGGTCATCCGTTTGGGTAGTGGTGGCTCGCTTGACAATTCGACGCCATTCTTCTCTAATCGATGCCTTCCTGGCGCACAAGTTTACAGGAGCTTTTGTTGAGGTCTTCACTTGATCAAGCCAACGCAAAGGCGCTCTACCACGTGGCCTTGTCCCTTCAACTTTAATCTGCACCACCACGCGCTCCACAGAATCATTACCACGCCGCGACACATGGCCAAAGAATGTAAGAATACGCGATTGGACGATGGAAGATAAACGCTCCTTGATGCCGAGTTCTTGTAGAATGGAATTAGTGCCTTCACAAGTCGTATTTTTGTGTATTTTATATAGGGCCTTATACAACATTTTAAAATGACCCGTTTTACTTACTGGTTGTAGCTTTGGTTATTAAAAACTCATAATGAAATAATTTAACTAAGATACTTAATATTGCTTCTTATAAATTATAATTTAAAACAACTCATTCAAAATCAATTTAATCAGCTTACTCAAGAAATTTATAAGAAGAAAGAGAATAAGCTTTATTTGCATGTATAATTTAACCTTAAATGTACTATGATTAATTATATTGTAATAATAAAATGCTAAAGTTGCTACAAATAAATTATTATCCATTCGTTAGATATTTTGACCAGTCATGTACTCGTATGTTTCCTTTTCGGGTCTCAGAGCGAATATACGAACGTAACATGTCTCTTTTTTGTCAATTCTCGTTTAGTGTTTTTAAATAATTATTTTTTTAATAAATTTCTTTTAAAAAAAGCTACAGTAAGCAAAATTCAGAAAACAACTTTTTAATGAAAATATTTTTTGCATAAGCACAAAAATTAAAGAAATACAAATTAATATCAAACTTTAAAATTTTTGAGGTAATCCAAATGGAAATCAATACCAAAATAGTGTGGAAAAAAATATGTAAAAATAGCCGTAAAGTTGACTTTCGTTACACTAACCCATTCGTTTGAGCAATTGTTGTCGGTATTGCTGTTGTATGGACACAAGATCGATATTATCTGACCCCATGTTATCAACTTCTTGTTTGTTTTAAATTTCTTTCACTGCATACTACATTTAAATAAAGTATAATGTTTCAGGTAAAATTTCATAGTTTCAGATTTAGACTCTATTTTACAATGGCATTATTCTGACTGTTTCATTTGTCAATGACGTTTTTACAAAAAAAATACTATAAAAACGTATATGATTAGAATAAAAAACTAAATCAGTAGAAAACGTTAATTACATAACTGTTACTCTTCCGACGACACCGACTTATAATGATCTGTTTTCATTTTTCAGACATGCGTATATAATTATGTATTTAATATACATATATACCTTTTAGTAAACATGGAATTGCACTGAGGACACCGGTAAATTTTTACAGGGATATTACAAGCTACAAAAACATCTGAACCATGCAATCAAAACAAAATACAACAGCAGTGTCATCAATGCCGGGTTAATCTATCTGGCCTAAGGTTTAAAAAAAAAAGAAATAAAAATAAAATATTTCAGTTATATAGTTTTTGTTTGTCAAAAATTACCTAAAAATTAAAAAAATATATATATAACAAAAAAAGCATTTATAACGCCGTAAGTTTTTTCGCGAAAAGTGAGTATGTATTAGTATAGTTTGAAATACCAGACAAATTCTTCTCATTATAAAAATTATATCCTTGAAAAAGAAACTATTTCATGAATTTACTAAAATATTCAGAAATTCATAAGACCCTTTTCCCCATTTCACAAATATTCTTATGTATTTTAATTTTTATTAAAAAAGTAATGTTCATGGAATTTCAGTAACCTGAGTACTAACAAATACTTTGTACCCTCTCGATAAGAAGAAATATTGATGAAAATATACTCTAGGCCGACAAGAAAGTTGATAGTTTTTATTATTTAACAGGTTAGTAATGAAGTTCAAGATTTTGTTTGCTTGTATCTTAAGAGGCGGCAGGCAATCATAGTTGGTAGAGACGCTAACAGATGTAGGCCCGGGTAGGGACACATGCGTGTCTACGGCTGCGGCTGACGTCTGGATGCAACGGGCCTCTTCCCGTCATTTACCTCCTCCAAATCCATTTTCGGTGGTATCACCTCGAACTTTGATTCGTAGTTTGAGCCTACTAGAGAAATTTCTATATCGGATGGAACGTTGGTATGTGGGTAGCTCGGTACAACCTGTTGGCATTGAATGTGGCCGTTCTTATTGGCTGATATTTTCCACTATTGGCTTTATAAAGGTTTGGGTCGTTTTCTGTGAGAAACTCTAAAAAGTCTCGAATCGAGTGATCTTATGGTTTGCGATAGTAGACGACGGGCTGGGAATTTCCTCTCCTTCTTGGCAAGAAGGTGTGATAATAAGGTAACACCATTTCTATGTTCCTGCTTTTAGGTGTTTTATTTGAATTTATTAAAACCTTTTAATCATGTAGGATTGTTTTCTAAATAAATTATTAAAACCAACAAAAAAAAATATTACTTAAGAGTTTACATTATCTCTGATTCAATGTGTATCACATAAAACACGTTTTATATAAAGCCAAAAAAGTGATACAGAAATAATATTTAAGTACAAAGCGAGTGGTTTTGAACTTTTATTGAAGTAAATAAAAAAATAAATACATTGCTAAGTCAACAACATGGAAGTGTTTTGAAAAACAGGTTTTCATTCTAGTAATATTTATTGTGAATATGCAATAATACTATAACCCTTACCCTTCCATACCAGATTAAACCAATCGGGTTGGGAAAAGACTTGGCATAAAATAAAAGATAACTTCTGGTTTCATATAATAAGTATAGGGTGAAGATATCCGTTGCACATTGCGCTGTCCATAGGCTATTTAAAGAACCATTGGAGGCCGAACAAGCCTAAATACATACAACTGATATAACAAGCGACTACAGGCTATTAAGTCATACATATGGATATGCGGGCAAATTAAAAATATTAAATGGTTAGTTATTATTACCATCGACTCCTTAATTTAAAAAATAAATATTTAAGGTTTAGAGATGATTTATTTCCCACTAAGAACAAAGTTCACTTACATAGGAAACTTAAACTAGTAACATAATAATAAACATTTATAAAGTTAATGGTGATCTTATTTATACAAACATTCAAATATTATAAAGTTTGACAGTATGTTTTATATTTAGCCTTAAATTTCAAAAAAGATTTTTCGTTAAATATTTCTTTCGGTAGATTATTGTACATTATCGCTCCCTCAAATTGAAATTGTTACCATAATGTTACCATAAAATTATATAAACTATAAAGTTTTACATACATACATACATCTATCATGTACTCATATTTAAGTAATCGTAAACGATTAAGTATAATATTAGGGAATTTCCGAATACAAATAGGTATATATTTCATAACAAGAGGAGTTAGCTGAGCCAATGGAGCTGTGGAAGGTCCCATAGTCTATTTTAAAAAATGTATTATGATTAAGATCTATGACACAGATATATATCACAAAACACACCACTCACATTATTGACACTGTATTCCTCCACAACTTCTCACATTCGTCAATCAATTACACGTATCGTCGAACCACTCAACAGATATGATAATCAAAAGAAAACGCAAAAGAAAAGCAATGATCCGTCCTTTTCACTGCGGCGATAATGTCTTGATAAAAAATATTACTTGGTATTAGACATTAGTGAACATCAAAATAGTGTACCTTGCGCAATAATAAGAATCGTTGATAGCAACCGTTACTTAGCCAAGAAATTCGTTGGTTGATCGAAAGACCAACTTGGGCTTGCACTTCAACCTGGAGACCAGATAACGGTACATGTGGTTGACCACAAACCCTCAACATATTATACTAATACTATTGGATCAGATATTTTAATAAGAAGGGCAGATTAATTCAAATTTTGCAATAATTTGACACCAACTGAAATTATGACATTATAATAATTAATAAGTCCCAAAAAGTAAGCTATTACAAAAAGTAAATCAGTTCACTTCTCCATTAAACCTATATAAGCATCTAAGGCAGTAATAAAACGTTTTCAAATATCAACGTTAAATAAAATGTCATTCCTTTAGGTAATTAAAACTTCTTAGAACTACTGGTACAAAGTGCGCTAAGCCAATGAGAACTGCCGTATTAGTTAAATTAATAAACTGATTAATTTATATTTAAAACAGCAACGTGGCAATAAAAATAATGTATGCGATTAACAAATGTAAAACATTATTTATAGATATATATTTATAATTTTAAATCATGTCACATATTGTTGTGTTTCTTCCGTGTCATAAAATACATTTAGCTTCTAAGAAAGAAAGACTATAAATGTATCCTATTTAAAAATATATTTTCTCATATTTCGAGAGTTGATATTTAATATTCAAAGTATTTTCTTTGGTTAACATCATCAAATATAAAAAGAATAAGAGTTAGTGTTACCGTTACTCTAGTTCGATCGTAAAACAATAAGTAAAATTTTAAGTGGGATAATTATTTTAAAAAGAGATAAAAGTGTGTAACTTTTATATTTGTGTATTCTAGTTTGCAACAAAAGGTTTTATAAATTTTCCTTTTATTATTGATATTTAGTTCAATTTAGTATTAATTATTTTTATAGCTACAAGTAGAGTATTAAAAATGACGTCACTGTAAACAATGGCCGTCTACTTACATATATAAATGAAGAAGCTTAATAACTTCTAGTTTATGGACATAGAAGTGCAACACGCTCTTCAAAGCTTTAGTAGCATAAAAAACCATGAATATAATATAGTGATTTTAATGAGTAGAATCTATGAAAGATAACCAGTTAAACGCTAGGAAAGATGCGATGCAATACCGAATAAAAATCATTTCAATCTGTAATAAAATTGAAGGTTCAATCCCAAAATGTAATTAGTAAGATTAATAAGAGCAATAATTTTTTTGTTCCAGAAGACTTAATTTTGAATGTCATTATTAATAAAATAAACCAATTTTTATTAAAATATCTTCTCTACTACTTTAGAAAGAAATAGTTACAGGCAAATACTTTAGGAATGAGAATGATTAATTGATATTTTTAGAAAAAGAGATGACAAGAGCATTTTTCATTCATCTTTAAAGATTACCAAGAGAATGGAAACGTCTAGGAAAAGGATACATACTAAAAATTGTTTAGAAAAAAGATTTGTTTCGTTTAGTATTGGGACTACAATAGGCACTGTATGAGATAATAATAAAGGCTTATATATTAGTCAGCGAATTGACGAAATTCTTTAAGATTTGTCAACTACGTTCGAATTCAGGATTTTTCAGACACCCTTAAAGTTACTGATGTTCTTTGAAATATATTCCAAATCATAAAAAAGGAACTTAAATTTCAAGTAATTTCTGCCATTCTTGAGAAAATTATACTACATAAAAAAATTGATAAGGTCTCTTTAAAACTTTTGAAGTTAGTCGCTTTGGTCGCTTAGATTTCGTATTATTCTTTACGCCAAGGAAAATGTCAGCAATCTTAAGGCTATTTATAAAGGCTTACTTTGAAACACTTGAGAATAAAAGGCATTGGCTCTTTTACGGCTAAAAATATGTTTATATCATTTATTTGTAACATTCATATAGTGTAGTATAATGACTATCCAGAGAGTATTTAATCAATAATTTGTAATAGGCCGTCTATATATCTAAGAAATTTTAATAAACAAGAATGAAATTGTTATTTTTATTATATGACTAAAAATTTTGTCGGAAGAAAATTAATTATGCTTAAGATCATAAAATAAAACGAAAAAGTAAGAGCAAAGTTAAATATATTAAAATAATGAGCTAGTTTTACTGCTCCATAATACGTGCTTGTACTTTACATATTCATAGAGAATTTATCTTCATTATACCTGTTACTTAAGGTGTTAAGATAACGCCTGCTGTATATTCATTACGTACATTATATTTTCAAATATTGTATGTAAGGTCGCAAACTTGGAATTTTATCATGAGCCTGCAATGCGGCTCACATAATAGAAATCAGGAGTTTTGAAATGTATGTGTTTTAGGGTATATTATTAAATAAAACATTGTAAAAAGTTGAGTATTGTCATAAGTATCGTAAAATATTATATGCAGAAAACATTCTTGTACCTCATTAAAAAATACTCGACACTCAGATTAAATTGATTTAATTAATAATGACTTCTCAATAAATATTACTAAGACATTTTTATTTATACTTTGTGTATTAAAAACTTACGTTTTGCATTTTTTTAATCAGAATACTACATAATAAATGGTTCATTTTAATAACAACAAATACGTTGTTTTTTAATTATAAATTTGAAATTGTATCACAGTTCAAATCCAAACAACCGTCAAAAAAGCTATTATTTGTTTAGTAAAACGCGAAATAGCCGCAGGCATTTTCATATATGGCCTTTGTTTTGTACGCAAAGTTTTTATTGCGTAAAATATTGATAAAATTTTAATAAAAAAATAATAAATTGACAATATGTTTGCTTTAATTTGGGGAAAAACTGTGTTTCCAATACCATATTAAATAGATAGATACTGTCTATACATTCCAATTAAAACTTTAAATATTATATTTTTTATGAAAGCTTTCTATTTTTTCAATTATTACTTGTGTTATGACAACAATGTGGCTATATGATACTCAAATTAAACGAAGAAAATGAGATCAATATTTTGAGCCATTTTAAATCAAGTTTATAGATTTGCTCTAACCAAAATTTTTTTGTATATCGTTCAATACGTCAATCTCTTCTTTGTCGATCTTGTTTACTTTAGTAGCAATGTTCACTTGAAAATCAACAGCATGAAGAAGATAGGGTAAAGTTAAAAATTTTGTATCATTTTAAATAAATATAGAGATAAGAAGAGGGGAGAGGACACTCCCTTGTGAAATTCTGGAAATCATTGCAATTATAAGTTCAGATATTATGTGTTGATCTTAACACATTGCACACGATCACCCAAAACAGACCAATCGATAGTACCTGAAGAAATATTAATAGATTTGAGAACATGTAACAGAAAGACAAAATCAACAGCGTAAAAATCATTGCTCAAGTGTAGAAGCCCCAGAACAAAAATTTATTTAGAGTATGTCAAGTAACTCATGATATAATACTTAATATGGATTAAACCTTATATTCTCAGTTATTCTGACCAATGCTGTAAATGTGCTATGATCATACAGGAAATTGGACAGGTAAGGTAAGTAACCAAAGAAATTTGTATTTTATAAAATATGAATTAGGTTTAATTCAAGGAATTTGTACTATTACACTATTATTATAAAGATATAAAGCTTACATATGAGAATAAGATATGTTTATATAGAGTGAGGACTACTCGGGATCACAGCATCAAAGTTGTAGATTGCTTGTTATTCAACTCTTATTAAGAATCATGGTACATATAATATGTTGAATTCAAACTAAATAAAATAGCACAAAATTTGTTTGTAGTTATTTAAAAATTTATTGATCTTTTAATAAAATTCACTTTCAAGCTTGATTTAATCATTTTGTCATGCATAACTCATTTAAGCTTTTACCACACTATTTTGTTATCAAACCTTTTGACAGTCATGTCTCTTGTTAACAACACCGTTAAATATTTGTGTTAATTATAACTTTAATATGGAAAACATAATATTATGTAATTGTGGCATACAATCATAATTATTTAACAACGTTATTATAAAATGTGGACGTCTACTATTAACAACTGAGGTTCACGCAGGGCACATAAAAAAGTATCGTATGTACATTCACGGTCTGGCAGTTTTCTGTACAAGATAACAAATAGATAAAGTTATTTATTTTCCTTTCACTATGTGTATATTCTATAAATATATGTAACAGCTATATTTAAATTTATTTAGATTAACAATTTTTTGAATAATACAAGTACAAGCTGTACCAAAAGTTAATAGAGATAAATATTTTTCATAGAAGTCCCTTGTCGATTTCTGATATAGCATTCTAAATATTTTAGATACACATACTAATACATATATCGAGTATTGCATATTTTATATTGCATTGCATACTAGTATACTGCGAAAACATGACGTTATTTCTTACCCGTGTAGGATGTAATGCTATTCAGTTATTTACAAAAAATTAATTATTAATATCTGTACTGCGTCCAATACAATATCACATCACACTTAAAATTTATTCAATATCTTTTTTTTTTTTGTTTTGATATTGTTGATTAATTACATTTATTTATTTATTTATTTATTTGTTTGGTAATCCAACAGTTTTTATACATAATTTTTTATATTAAATATTACATAACATAAAATTAAAACCAAGATAGGATTACACAGGTATCTTAAACATATTAATAACTAGAAGACAAGTAAAATCAGCATAAAAGTAAAATTTATAGTATTAAAGTAATATAAAGGTACGGGTGGGAATCCAATAGGTGCGTGTTTGCATAATTGTGTGTGTGTGTGTGTGTGTGTGTGTGTGTGTGTGTGTGTGTGTTTGTGTGTGTGTGTGTGTGTCTGTATGTGTGTGTGTGGGGGTGTGTGTATGTTTGTCATTATGAATTTTTATCTTTTTTAATTATAGCTTTTATCTTAAAATACTTTTTTAATTATAGTGTTTTTGTTAAATTATAGTTAACTTTAGTTTAAATAAAAACTTATTTGCATGGTTTATGCTTTTTGGACAAAAAAAAACATAAACGAACTCAATGACAACTTATTTAATCTTGCCTTGAAGACATATAAATTGTAAGCGGAAGGAAATATAGACGCAGCAAATATTTGCAATCCTTTGCCAACCGTAAGAGGAAGAATGAGTGATATCACTTCGTCCAAT